GGGCCCTGCTGCGTTATGGGCCACCATTCATAAAACTGGTAACAGCAAACCTTCCCTGTAATGCTTTCAAACCCAGTCCACCTAGCTAGAAAAGGATCTGGTAGTCCTGGTGGGCACCAAGCTGAATACGAGCCAAGAAATGTACCCTTACCATGAAGAAGGCTAAGAACTTGTGGATGCTCCATCCCCAGATGCACCCAAGGCCAGACTGAACGGGGACCTGGGCAGGTTGATCAACTGGTTGGCAACCCTGCCCATGGCAGAGAATTGGAATTGGCTGGGCTTTGAAGTCCCTTCCAACCTAAGCCATTCTATGATTCTTTGATTCTGTGATCCTAGGCTGCATTGGGCAAAGCATCAACATCATCAGCAGCAGTGAGGCCACACCTGGACTAGAGTCTAATTCTAGAAATGTAGTACAAGTGAGACATGGACATACAGGAAAGACTCCAATAGAAGGTGTATGGGAACTGCTGAGTCACGGCCTGAACCTCTGATTGATCACCTGAGGCGAGCCATGATTCAGCCAGAGGAGCACAGGTGAAAGCAATTCACCTGTGCTGCCGGAAGGGATGGAGCCTGGCTGCACCCCTCCTAGGCCTATTTAAGAGCTGGCTACCAGGGGGAAGGATCTCATCTGCAGATTCCTCCTTCTGGTGTTTTGTGGTGAGCCCAGCATAAGGGTAAGCCTTCCATTTATTCTCTCTTGTTATCATCCTTGTTATCATGGTCTGCTTTGCCTAACTCTCTTGTTTATTTTGTGATTGTAACATCTTGATATCCATTGATTATACGGAAGGTCACAAAGATGATGAAGGAACTGGAACATCTTTTCTATGAAGTGCTGTGGCAGCTAAAGCTTAAAAAGTGAAGCTCGAGGAGGTTCTCAAGAATGCATGCAAATACCTGGAGGGAGAATGTAATGAAGACAGAGCTGCTCTATTTTCAGCAGTGCTTGGAGACAAGAAAGGAGGCAATGGGCACAAACTGGAGTGCAGGAGGTTGCCTATGAAGCAGCTCTGAAGGCAGCACTTCTGCGCTGTGCAGGTGACAGAGCACCGGGCCAGGCTGCCCAGAGGCCGTGTAGTCTGCTCTTCGGAGATGTCCAAGAGCCGCCTGGCCGTGGACCCGGCACCCTGCTCTGGGTGCGCTGCTGGGGCAGGGGCCGGGCCAGCTGGACGCGGAGCCGTGCGCCAGCACGTCATTCTGCGATCCCGATTCTTAGCGCGCCCTCTGAGCACCTGGTGTTCACTCGTGGAATTCCTCAGCCGGGACCGTATCTTCGTGACAGACATCCGCCGTGTAACGTTCCTCGAATCTGTTTTTTTAACACAGCGACTCTCCGAGTTAGACCCCGCGCTCCGCTTTCCCCAGCTCCCAGCCGCCAGACCGCCGCTCGCACAAGGACGCACCGCCTGCCGCGGCCCGGCCTCCCACAAGATGGCGCCGCGGCTCCGCTGATGGTCGGGCGGAAGCGGCGGAGGAAGCCCCGCTCGTGGTGCCGCGCTGCGTGCGTGCCGGAAGGGAGCGACGGAGCGCCGGGGCCGGTTCCTCTCGGTTCCCCGCGCGGCCGGCTGCTCGGGCTGCCCGGGTGGGTACGCAGGCTGCGGCTGAGTCCTCTCCCTTACGCCGGGAACGCTGCGGGAGGGCCGGGCCGGGGAAAGCGGCGTTAGCGGGAGAGCGAGTAGTTCGTGGGGAGTCAGCTATGCTTTCGGAGCTTGGGCGCCCGGTGGGGGCGGACAGACGGCGTTTATCGCACGCGAATCGGCTTAAGGGGTCGAGGCTTTCGTGTTTCCTCCACAAAACGCTGGTGCTTCGGGGGTACGGCCCCGTGTGTGCTGCAGACAGACCGCTACGGGAGCGCGTTCCTGTCAGCCCGTGGCCTTCGCGCTTAGCGGGGCAGCGGCCTGTCGGTCTTTCTTGTGCTGGCGATGAGCTTTCTTGTGCTGGCGATGGCGCCCCTCACTGCGAGAAAGATATTAAGGCCCTGGAACGTGTTCAAAGGAGGGCAACAAAGCTGGTGAGGGGTCTGGAACACAGGCCATATGAGGAGAGGCTGAAGGAGCTGGGAATGTTCAGCCTGGAGAAGAGGAGGCTCTTTGCTCTCTATAACTTCCTGAAGGGAGGTTGTAGTGAGCTGGGGGTCGGCCTCTTCTCTCGTGTCATTAGTGATAGGACCAGAGGGAATGGTTTCAAGCTACGGCAGGGGAGATTCAGGCTGGACATGAGGAAGTATTACTTTTCAGAAAGGGTGGTCAGGCACTGGAATGGACTGCCCAGGGAGGTGGTGGAGTCACCGAGCCTGGGGGTGTTCAAGGAAAGGCTGGATGTTGTGTTGAGGGACATGGTTTAGTGGGAGCTATTGGGAATAGGTGAACAGTTGGACTGGGTGATCTTGAAGGTCTTTTCCAACCTTGGTGATTCTATGATCTTGTGTTCTTATCTCAGTACCACAGACTGGTTAATTTTCCAATCATCAGTGTTCTAAATAAAGTCAGTTGTCTTTGATCCTAAATTGATGGGCCTTTTGAGCAGTACCTGTAGCCTCCAATATGGCAGCCATGTGACACACTGTATCTGACACACCAGAAGATGGTTTGGCTTCCATACTGTGCTACCAAGTCTTAAAATACAACAATTGGTCTCAACTTCATTTGACTCCAAACAAATTGAGTGCTGTCTCTACTTTGATCAGGTATATTTTGCATTTGGGCCGGAAGAACCCCAGGCACCCGTACAGGCTGGGAGGAGTGGTCCTTGAGAGCAGCTCGGCAGAGAAGGACCTGGGGGTCCTGGTGGACGAGAGACTGAACATGAGCCAGCAGTGCGCTCTGGCAGCTCGAAAGGCAAATGGGATCCTGGGCTCCATCAGGAGAGGGGTGGTCAGCAGGGACAGGGAGGTGATTGTCCCTCTCTACTCGGCTCTTGTGAGGCCCCATCTGGAGTACTGTGTCCAGGTGTGGAGCCCTCAGTACAAGAAAGACATTGAGATTTTGGAAAGGGTCCAGAGGAGGGCGACTAAGATGATCAGGGGGCTGGAGCACCTACCCTATGAGGACAGGCTGAGGGAGTTGGGCTTGTTCAGCCTGGAGAAGAGAAGGCTGCGTGGTGACCTCATTGCAGCCTATCAATACCTGAAGGGAGCCTACACCCACGAGGGGAGTAAACTCTTCAAAAGGGCTGACAACAGCAGGACTAGGGGAAATGGATCCAAGTTGAAGGAGGGAAGATTTAGGTTGGATGTTAGGGGGAAGTTCTATACAAGGAGAGTGGCTAGGCCCTGGAACGGGCTGCCCAGGGAGGTTGTGGATGCCCCGTCCTTGGATGTGTTTAAGGCCAGGTTGGACGGGGTCCTGGGCAACCTGATCTGAATGTGTATGTTTGGTGGCCCTGCTAGGCAGGGGGGTTGGAACTACATGATCCTTGAGGTCCCTTCCAACCCGGGTGATTCTGTGATTCTGTGTATATTTATTTTCATTAATGTCTACTTGTCTGATGCTGATAAAGAAACAATCCTGTTTTGATTAAGCGCATTGGCTCTGTACTTAATTATCTGTGAAGAAATATTCTAAAACTGAGAAAAGGAAGCAGTAAAACTTATCAAAGACAAAACTTTCTTCCGTTAATTTCTTTCATATTTGGTGAACTGAATAGAGTTGAATAGTTTCTCCAGGTTTTTTTCCCTCCTTTCTCCGTTCCCCATTAGAGAGCACACGTACAAGTCGTGTATTAGTAATAAAGTATCAAACTTCACCGGTTACTGCTTTAAAAAATACATTTACATTAAGCTCTGAATCTGATTTCTGTTTATGCTGAAGCTAGTTCGAAGAACCTTCTGTCATGTAGGAGGAATTAGGGGGATAATGAATGTGAAATGTACCTAATTTTTTTTCTGGAAATTGAAGAGTTGGCTGCCATGAGCTTAGATTTTTAAGTATAAGGAAAAGACAAAGTGACCTTGACAGTGTCCAGATGTGTATGGGAAAGGGACAGAAAGTGCACATTTAAGTCATGAGAGCGGAGCTAGAAGTTTTGATGAGAGGTAGCATGGAAATGAGATGTTTGAAGTACACAGAGGATAGCCCATGAGTCTTCTGTGTAGGTGAGGATGGCACTTGTTAGAAGTCACTGCAGTGTTTTTCAGTGATCTCAGTTCTGGGTTTTATCCTTCCTGCTTTAAGTAGGCAGGGGGGAATACAATGAATTCATGCACTTTGTTTGCCTAATGATGTAGTCCTTTCACTTATTTATGTGTCAACCCATTGGTTGCAGTGGACTGCTTGTGTACAGAGGGCTCCTTGGTGGTCTGACTGAGGATTTATGGGTTTGAGCTTGGTATGTGCCATACTAAGGGCAATAATCTGCCCTTGTGGTAGCTTCACGATTTGCATTTTCTTTGAATGTGGCTCATCCTTATTCTTTCACTCAGTACGTTTTGTCTTAAGAGGCAAAAAATTGCTGTTTAATTAGGAGTATTAAATGGGAGACAGAGCACAAGTGGTTTTTGTCCTGTATTCACTGCGTTGTGAAGAATCCCAGTTTTATGTTGATATAAATCTACAACGGTTGTAAGTAAGTGCTGTCCTGGCTATATTCCAGTATTGCTGGGAAGAGTCTTTGACTATGTTTTATGGGTAGCAGTGGTGGTTTAGCATGCTGGGTCCTGTTACCTTTCACAGGCATCATGTACATCAAGTTTTGAATGGCAGTCCTGGGAGGAGGTATGCGGATGAAGTAGCTAATGTTGCAATAAAATAATTGTCAGGTAGGGAGGCAAGTTGAACTATTTCTTAGTGTTCCATGCTGGTAGATCACACTGAAAATGATGACAAATACAAATCTGGCCTTAAAATCATAGAATTACTTGAGTTGGAAGGGCCCTTGAAGATCATCAAGCTCCAACCCACTGCCATGAGCAGGGTTACCAACCATTTGATTGGGTTGCCCAGGCCTGCATCCAACCTGGCCTTGAATGTCTTCAGGGATGGGGCATCCGCAGCTTCTCTGGGCAGAAAACCTTGTGGTTACAGTGATCTTGTTCATGCTTTTGCTCTTTCCCTTCCTCCCCTTCCCCTCTTTGTTTTTTTTCTTCTCTTCCATTGCCCATATTCCTCTTTCTTTATCCTCACATTCAAAAATATCATTGCAGCCTGTGTCAGTCTGTTTCCTTTGCAGGAGATGGGGTTGGTTGTCTGGAGAAAAAGATCAGTAAATCAAAAGAAAGGGTTTTATGCAGTTATAAGTGTGCTCTAAATTAATCAGAAGATTTACAGAAGTAGAATTAAGAGGAGTTTAAGCGTTTTGTGGTACTTGAAACTTTTATGGATGCCCCTGTGCAGATTCTGCTAAAAAGCAAGGACACTGTTTGATTTGTTTGATTTTTTTTGTTTGTTTGTTTGTTTTGTATTTTCTTTAGAAAATAAAGGTTGTGCAAGTATAATGTGTGGGATAAAACAGAAGATAGTGACGTGGAAAATCATTCAGTCTCAGCGTTTTAGGCCATATAGAAGTAGGTGGCTCCCTGTTCACCTTAGTATTGTAGGGGAGGATTTTAAGGACTAGGTTTTGTACTGACTACTAAAAAACTACCAGTAAGAGACGTCACTAGCTGCCACAGAGAAAAAGGTATTCAATACCTATAGGCCATAGTACTCAAGTTTAATGAAAAATGTTGATTACTTGTGACCATCATAATGCATATTTTTATGAATTAAACTCTGCTTTTTGTTTTCTAGTTCACTGTGATCATGGAACAAACTCCACAAGAGGTGGTAAGCAGTCTTTATGGTTGTCAATGCAATTGCTTAGTCATATTTTATACACAAAATGCATATAAACACTTTTATTGAATTGTCAACGCAGACTTATAAAAATTAGATGTGAAAATATCTAAATGGCTGTGAAATAGAATTCAGATTACAACAGTGAGTGATTTGTCTACTCCTGGGGAGGCTCCAGAGTCATAACAGGAAAATAACAGAGGACTCTGATCATTTGCCTTAAATTTATAGCTTTTGTTTTCTTGAGGAAATCTCTTATTTCCATTTATTCTGCAGCTGAAAAAGCACAGACATAGAACTAAGATAGACTTTAAAGTGTTCCCTTCCTCTTTCCACACCAGTGTAAAACATTTCTGTAATTTATTTTTTAACAGATGGATTTTTAAAATTCAAATGTAAAAGGGGGGTTTTAAGGGTCGCTTTCAACAGAAAAGCCATAAAAAGTACTTGGACAGGCACCAGCATCCCAGTCCTGTCTCCATGAACTGGGTTTTTGTCTTCCTTTCTCCTAAATTAGCAACTGGAGCCAGTCAACCAGCTGGATTCCAGAGCTTAGAGTAAAGTCATCAAGGGCTCTTTGGAAGCATTTAAGAAGATATTTTCTGAGCTTTGAAAGAACATGTTGTCATTCTTGGAAATATATAGAATGTCGGAGATCTCTGCTTTTGTCAAGCTGCATGATGTTTCAAAACTGGATTTTTAAGTAGTGGGAAAAATAAAATGTTCTGTAAGTAACCCGTGAATGTATCAAATTCGACAACAGAACGTTCTCATCTGTTGAAGGATGAGGAGTCACTGTGACATTCTTTAGCAAAGTAAGAATGATAAATAAATGAAGAAAACATTGTATATCATAGCTTTTAGGTCCCTGGATGATGAAGAATGAAGAAACTCCATATGGAAGGCAGATGCTTCTCTTGCACCCACTCGTTTTAGGAATAAATCTTCTCTCATGATAGGTCTTGTAGCAACACAGTACTGGACTAAAATGAGAATCAATGGCCATGAAGCTTAACATCCATGAATTGTTACTTTATGGGAGGGATCACTTATCTGATCTTTTAATTTGGATTGCTGAGCCTTGTAGGCCTTCACGACTAGGGTGCTGTTTTAATCAGAAGTTATTAAGGAATGCAAGTTTGTTTTATTGTGTGAGGTTTTTTTTTTTTTTTTTTTTTTTAATGGACTCTCATGGCTGGGGATCTTTTAATTCTGAAAGCACTTAGCAGTTACCTAGAAAGAGAGCAAGCATTTGTAGACCTCTTTTGGAGTAATGGGCTCAGCTTAGCAGAAAGAAGGGAAACATAATAGTTGAGGGGTTTTTTGGTATGACTAATAATTACTCCAAGCTCTACAGTATTTGCATTATTACCTGACAAAAAGAAAATGAAAACATATAGAAATAAATGAAATTAACCTAGTTTGCTTCGTTAGCATTAAATGGAAAGTGCTTCTTTTTTTGTTTTGTTTGGGGATTTAATTTTTTTTTCCAGAGGGCCATTCTTTTAAAGCTGTGGAATTTGTGCCAGTGCAGATCAAGAAAACACACAAAGATATTTTTTTTTCTTGAATGCCTCTAAAAAAGAATAAAATGAAAAAACTAATGAAGAGCTGTAAATGTCACATTTATCTCCGAAAACTTTGGCTAATCTTGCCATGGATTGAGTGTTCGCCATGAGGTGGTTTAATTAGAAGTCTTCTCATTTAACAGGCATTCTGTTTTGCCTAGGTAAAAGATCTATAGAAATCAAGATGGGTCAGGAAGAAGAATGGCTGTGTTTTATTTGTTCTGGATTTCAGGTTACTACTCTGTGGCTTTCTTTTAAGATCCTCTGTTATCTGCTGATCTCTGTGAGTAGAGTGAGGAGAGAGGTGAAATGGTCTGTATGACAGGGCTCAGGGCTAGAAGGACTGCAGGGCTTTTCAGTTGTTAGTGGAACATGGGCAGAGTGAAACTGAGCTTTTTCAGGGAAACTAAGATCAGGCACAGGGCAAGAAACAGTGGTGTTGCAATACATTTCCCTCTGTAGAATCATTTTTCCCTGTGCTTTATCAGTGGTACTTTGTTACCCTTTTTCACATGTTGGTTGCTGACGAGTACAAAAGGGGGATTTGCTGGCAACTGGAAGTTGGCTAAATACAGACTTGTTTTTGATCAAGGCCGCAATGGCTATATGAACTTGGCTGAATTGCCATTTGACCTTTCCTGAGAAACTTACTTTGGCAGACAGATGGAGGAAATATGTTACTGGATAAAATGAATGCCTTTGTTTAGTATGGAGGAATTTTAATCTCTTGTTTTCTGCCTGCGGATTTGGAAATCAGGTGTTGGTTGTAATGCATACACCTTGGAATGACTCCGTTCTTAAAAGTCATGTGAGTAGTTAAAGGAAACATGGAATACATCTGCACAGTGTTTTCCCTGAAAACCACTGACTGCCACCATTATTGTACAAACGCTTGTGTGGAAGAAACCTCCTGGACTCTACAACTCTCTGTTGTGAATTCTTCCTTGGTAGATACGATGATGAAAAAACAACTTCTTGTAAGAGTAACAAAGTGTAATGCATTTGTACTGTTAACAGTTGGCCTTTTCTTTCAGATTTTTTTTTCCTTAGGAAAAGAGCGATCGATGATTAAAGTACAAACATAGGGCTTATTCTTCCAGTGTTTTATCTCTCAATTACTGCTTGTTTTCTCATTCCCCCCATTTGGATGCAGGAGGAAGCTGAGCCATGGTATTTTCAGAAAATGTATGCAAGATACTGGAAGCACTATGATTTGTCTGTGCGCTGGATGCGCAGACACCAGGAGGCCTACAGAAAAGCCATGGAGTGCTTTTATCATGTACCATGGCCTCCTTATGCAGCTTCTCCAAGTAGCCGCTACTCAGATTGGGATGGGGATGACCCCCCGTGTACCCACAACCATTTTTCCAACTATAGCCCACGTGGCAGAGCTCAGCAGAACATGGATGCCCGGCCAGGGAAGGAGGATGATGACAGGGAGGAGGAAGAGGAAGACTCTGAAGTGGAGGAAGACTCGGAGTCCGAAGGGGAGTTTGAATATGACCTGAGTAACATGGAGATCACAGAGGAACTTCGCCAGTTTTTTGCCCAAACAGAGAGGCATCGGGAAGAACTACGTAAGTCTGTGCTTGTTTGGTGTTTTCTTGTGCTTTGTAGCCATGCCAATGAGTCGTGGACAGCTGCAGAGTTTACAGGTTGTGTAACAGTTATAGAAACTGGCACTGCAGGTGGACAAGCCAAGCAGATTGAATCAGGCAAAACCACTGGGTACAGTTGAGTACAATTCATTAGAAATAACTGTTTGAAAAATCTTGAAACACTTTCTGTGAGAAAGAGAAAGAATTATGACTGCAAAGAGGAGACTAACTTACTTGTCTAGGAGACAGTATTCTTAAAAATTCTGGGGTTCTTGAAACTGAAGGCTAAATATAGTTAACGTGCTGGATGTTTGAGAGGGGAACCCAGAGGAGGCGCTTCGCTGCATGAACCCTACTGAGCCCTGGGGTAAACCTCTGTGTGTTCTGTATTATGGAGCAGCCATTTTCTTTGTTCTTTTTTTGGCTAACTCAACAGTAAAATTCCAAGACCTTTCTCTTGTCTCTGCATCCCTGAGGTACTCTTCATTCTATACTATACCAGAAGTTTCTCTTTATTTTGCATCTTGATCTGGAGCCAAGTCATTAGGCAGGGGATGTAAGCCAAAGACTTAGTATTTATCTCAGATCTTGATCATCTTTTTTTCTGTGAAATTCCTTTAAAAAAAAAAAGTTTATTGGTATTTATTTCATATACAAATACTGCAGAGAGATTAATGATGTGTTTTTAAAAAGTAGTATGATGAGAACAACTTTTCCCCTTAACTCAAATAGGAAGTACTCAGAATAAATGTTTAATAGGGCTTTCTATGCATACCAAAAGAGGGAAATATTCTAAAAGAAAGAAGAGGATAATAAAGGCAGTGATTGGAAGGGAGAAATAAAAATCTTGTTATTCTAAGGCCTTTGATCTGAGGTATCCAATGAGCTGAGACTCCTCAGCTTTAACTTCATGCTTCTTATCAGTATGGTGCACCATTCCTGTAGTTAGGAAAGGAACGTGAGCCAAAGAGCTCAAGTGGTAGTGTGTGATGTGCTAGCCCTTTCTCTCTGATTTTTCAGCATCAGCTTGGCGTCTTCTTCTGAAACATTCCTTTAGTGAGGGACAGGGTACTTTAAGATGCTTGGCTAATTCTAGAAAATGCAGTACTTTCTTTGATTATTTTTTTTTTTTTAATCTTTATGATTAATGGTGTTTAAAGGTGTGTGAGTGATTAAAGTGGTGTCCTGGAAATGGGGAAATCTGGGCTTACAGATGCTGTTTGTCATGGAAATCCTATGTGACCTTGGTATAGCTGTTCAGTCTATTCCTGACCCCTCACTGCCTGCTCTTGCTAAAAATATGAAAAATATGAAAAATATCCTTTATGATGAGCAGGTGAATCAGGAAAAGGCTTGTGGCTCAGAATGCAGGTTTGACTTCTGTTCCTTCCACCATAGAGGTACTTGGAGCCTTTTGGAATACTTAGGTTTCTGCTCTGTGCCATATACTAGCCTATTTATGGGTAAGTGTGACTTCACTTTCTTTGGGGACAGTGTTCCATATCTTAGTCCAAAGTTAAGCAGAATCTGGCCTTGAGCTACTGCAAGTCTCAGTTTCTTGTCATTTGAAGTTTCTTTGTGGTATGATAAAGCGAGGGTAATACTTGTATGTAATTATTCAAGGCATGAAAAAGTAAACAAGCACTAGATTTAATTAAAGTATAAAAGTGTTACAGAACTCTTGGGTGACTGCTGCTATCTAAATGCTAATTTTACGAATAATTAAAAATATAGTATAAGCTTGTTAAGAAATATTTTTTTCTTGCAGGAGGGAGAAAAAAGTAAAATGGTGTTGTTGTTTTTTTTTGTTGTTGTTGTTCTGTTGAAGTTTCTTGTGTAGCAGAAGTAGCAGGAGGAGGAGAGAATCTTTGTTTCCCTCACTGTATGGTAATGAGCTGATGTGAGATTGTTCAAGGCAGTATCACACAGTGAAGTAGTGTTATTTGTTTTCCTGGGTGTCTTTTCAGAACAAAAAGAAATGAAATTTAGAAGCTCATTAAGGTGCAGTCCGTTACACTGCCATGTTCTATCTTTCATACTGTGCCGAGGAATCCCTGTAGTTCTGTATTGATACTCAAGAAAACTGAGACAATACAAATGCACAAAGGAAACCCATGCTTACTTCTTTCCCCTCTGATAGCTTTTCATTTTAATCCCAAACTGTATGTAGTGGGCTGTCTCACTACCTTAGGAACAGATCTTTAGAGGAACATAGGCATTATAAAGCTCAGCTACACCTGAAGTTTAGGCATCCATCCCTGGGAGAGCCACTGGTAGTGTTAGGTGAGAATTTTAAATTTTCCCTAAACTGGGCATGTCAAAGGAGAATATCAGTAGAGACCTTGGCAATCAGGTGAAGGATAAGCCAGCTGTCAGAGAATGTTAAGGGAAGGCTGTGTCTCGAGTTTCCTTTCTCTGATGTGAATAAGTGGCTGCAGGTGGAGTTCACAGCCTTTGAACCCTCCACCTCGATATGCATTTGCAAACAAACATCTGGCTCGCTCTTCTTTTGAAATGAGTGCTGTGCATGAGTTTGATATGTGGTTATGGGCGGCTTGCTGAAGTGTGAGACATATGGGAGAGGAGCAATGGGCCAAATAGGGAATTTGCGCTTCTACAGGAGACTTGTACAGGTATAGAACTTGGAGAATTGGTTTATTTTTGTAGTGGATGACCACCATTATTCTGTTTTTCAAGACCTGCAAAATTAGGAAGTAGTACACAGACTTAACGCAGCTATTTGGACGTGTGAGTGATGAGAGTTTTGATTTACCAAGCTAATACAGCTGGTTCTCAGCCGTGACCCATGTCTCATCGACATGAGAAACAGTTGTCAAATAGACTGAAATTATCAGACTCTCACTTCTAGTGCCTGTTGAAGAGTCCACTGAAGGTAACAAGGGTCACAGACATTAGAAAAGAGTCTTGCAAACTTTATTTGAAAGATTTAAATAGGCCTGAGATTTAGGTGGGAAAGGCATATGTCTGGGAGGTAAAATATAAGTCTCAATACTAATTGCAAAAAGAAGAGTTTCAAAGAGAAGGAAGCTATTGTTTTAAACCAGCCACAGAAAAGAACTTCAGGTTGAGTTCAGTTTTCAGTACCCATCACAGGCTTACAGGAGTGTGCCTATTCTTCGCAATTTTTGTTCAGTTTCTGGCTGACTTGTACGGTAAAGCCTTCAAAACTGGCAAGCTCTAAGTCTTGCTGCATGATTTAACGCTTAGCAGGGATACAGTTGTTCACAAACAACCTTTTTTTTGTCTTTGAATTCATATCAAATTCCTCATAGTTTTTATATTCTCATCACGTGTTGCAGTCAAGTTATGTGTTCCTGGAATGCCCCAAAGTAATTGTGAGCAGGGTTCTGCTGAGTCTGTATGAGCTCAGACACATTAATGCACCACAAATTTATTCCATATTCTAGATATCCTGTGCACTTGGTTAAAATTCCTTACAGGCAGTTTTGATTTCTTTTCAGTTGTTTACCTGCAATCACAATTATTTAGTGTATCTGTTCTAAGGGGTTTTGTTCTTCATTTTAACTGATGATTCCAGTTCCCTGTGCTTCCGGGGGATGTATTTTAGTAGCACTTAAGTCTTCACTGAGGCTGTTAAAAAGCATGAAATCATTGTTCTGAGTTATGACACCTGTCAGAGGTAGGTGGTGTACTTCATTCTCCAGGTGTCCTAGATATGAGGGGCTGAATGCATTGTCTTATGTTTGCAAGACTTAAAGGGGCAAAAGCAAGAAAGTAAGATTCACGAACCTAACAATTCAGTGAATTGTCTAATTAATGTATTTTATTTATTGCACTTCCAAATTTAGCCTTTGAAATGTGGTTTGTTGTTACGCACTTTTTCTTTGTTCCCTTTTTACATACAAGATGGCTGCCGTAATTGAGCAAATATGACATTGCAAATACATTGAGAACCATTCTGTAGCAGCCAGCAGGCAATGAAAGTGTCTTTTATTTAAAAACAAAAGCAAAGGAAAGTGCTGTCATGTCAGTTCATTACTGTAGGATAATGGTCTGTCAGTTGTTAATGCTGCAGCTCTTTTTTCCATTAAAGCCTGTTTGTATTGCCCACATAGACCCTCCAGCTGTTCCCAAAATAATGTTGTCTCAACTTAAAATTTTTTGTGCCAGATGGAAAACCCTTTTAAAAAAAAAAAAAAAGAAAGAAAACAGATTGCAAGGAAATGCTGAATGAAGATGTTTGTTTCAAATCTGCAATTTGTAGCTTTTTTTCCTTTGGGTTTCAGAAAAAGATGACAGTGGCCATTGCCTCTTCCGTGACAAGGGACTAATGGAATTTTCCATGTGTTATAAACTTGTCTGAATAATACCAGATCCATGAAGTTTTTGGTTTTGTTTAAAGTCTTTGTACTGTGGAAAATAAAGGCTTTTATGCTCATGTTTGTTACCATGCTTTACCAAAAATGAAAGAAATAGATTTTCTCTCTGTTACTCATTTTGCTCTGATAGACTCTAGTAGTTCTCTAGATGACCAGAATCTTTTTGCTTCTTTTTCCCTGCCCTGGACTGTTAAAACAGTGCGCATGGTGATAAACGTCTGCTTGACTCCTTGGCTTGTCAGCCTTGCCATCATACAAATTTTTGCCACTGTGTTTGTAAGCTGCATTGCTGAAGTTTCTGAGAAGAACCTGTGAAATAGTTTCTCCACAATATATGTGGTTGCTTGAGATACGTTTTTGAAGCATGGTGTGTTTTTTATTTAATGGAAGAAGGAATATCTCTTAATGGTGGAACCTTTTATCATGTAGCAGCAGGGTCTTCTCAAGTGCAAGAGCTGGTGCAGCCAACAGAGAGGTTGTTATTATTGGTGTTTGGTAATCTGTGGCAGAAGAATGCCTCCTTGCTGCAGAAACAGAGCAAAGTTCCACCGTTTTTCATCACCTTAGCATTGAAAGGTAATCTGTACTTGCAAAGAAACAAAAAAAGGTTCTGAATTG